ATATATATATACAAATTAATTAAATATACATTGTTGTATTTCAATAAATAGAATATATATTTTTAGCTCGGAACCCGCCACCTATTTGCTTTGGAGAGGACATTTTAAATGAAGTAGATGTTGAAGTTTGCTTACATATATATGATATAAACATTAATAAAGATAAGTTTCACGTTTGCTTCGAGATTTATGGAAAAATAATGAAACTCCCAATCACTAAAATAAAATTGGGTTGTATCCAGACTAAACTACGTAACAAGATGGAGTATATCGAAAACAATTTGTCAAAATTGTTTCTTAAAAAGGTGAAAAATGATACACTACCCATTGTGACTATGATATGAGTAACATACCGAACACAGAATCTCTACATAAGAATACAGAATCTCGTTATTGCTATAGATCCGGATGTTCCGATTTTCTTCAAACGTTATGACAAATTGTTAATAACAAATGTTCTTCACACTTTTATAATTTTACGTTGAATATTTTTATTTCTTGGATTTTAATTTTCAAAGTAAACGTAATTGTTCAATTATGTTAACTTTAAGCAAAAATACTAATTTAAAATAATTAAAATACACTGGAATATTCAAGAAATTTAAGAATGAATACCGATAATGTTAAGAAATGTAAATTTTGGGCGATGTTTATATTGAATTTCTTTTGTCAAAATGCATCAAAATAAACATGTATACTTCTTTTATTTTTGTGCCACATTGATATATAATGTTTAAGTTTCATTTTTATCTAATATAATAATGTAAAACAAATCTCTTATTTTGTATTTTATTCAGGATTGCCACAGACCGGAAACAATCAGAGAAATTGAAATTAGTCAGAAATCGAGAAAAATCAGAGGAAAATGTAAACACGTCTGGAATTTCAAAATTTGCTCATAATTCCCTGAAACTGCTCCTATTCCAAATAATTGTTATAATTTTTTATATCTGATTTATAGTCGTGAAATACGTTCAAAACTTTAAATGATTTTATTAAAATAATTAAAATTTATATTTTAATTAATTTTATTTTAATCATTTTTATTTGATCCTTTTTTTCGTCATAACTGTATTCTTTTTTTCAAAACTAATTTATTTTTTGCTCTAGCTTGAATTTGCACCTAAAATTATGCTATTAAGCTTTTTTTGCGTTGTTTTTAATAATATAAACTAGTAGCTTTCCTATAACTCTTGAGTCTAAATGTTAAACTTCACATATTTTATATTATTCATATTT